AACAAGCCCGAGGTTGACAAATAAAATGGCACAGTCCTGCCGTTACCAAACCATATGGCAGGCCATTAATTCAAGTCCATTGTTAAGTCCCAAGGTCAGCAGAGCATGGCAGGCTGCTGAACAATGACACAGGTACATGAAGGGTCCAAACATGCCATAAGCTAGAGACCATACCCCAAGCTGTTTCTTATATACAGGAAGCAGACCACATACCCAAAGGCAGCTACTCAGCTGCTCACAGTAGATTCCACCATGGAGTTGATTACCAGTCTCATCATGGGGAATACTACATCCAGCTGCCCAGCCATTCAACCAGGCCCAGCCAAGTTGACACACAAACATAACCACCACACACACGCAAGTAAAATCTTACTGAAGATAATTCAAAAATGGGTGCAGCAGTAATACTGATGAGAATTTCCAGAAATACAAGCTAGATTCAGAAGGGGACATGGAGTGAGGGATATCATAGCTAATGTCAGATGAATCTTGGCTCAAAGCAAAGAAAATATGTTTACTTGTGTTTTATTGACTCTGTAAAAGCATTTGATTGTGTGGATCATAACAAATTGTGATAACATTGAGAAAAATGGAAATTCCAGAACACTTAATTGTACTCATGAGGAACCTGTACATAGACCAGAAGGCTGTTGTTCGAATAGAAAAAGGGGACACTGCATGGTTTAAGACAGCTCTGGTAGTGTAGTGCCTAAGGCACTTGACTGCTAACCAGAAGGCTGGTTGTTCAAACCCACCAGCCGCTCCTCAGAAGGAAGGTTGGGCAATCTACTTCCGTAGTGGTACCACCTCGGAAACCCAAGGAGGGGTCACTGTGAGTTGGGTCTGACTCGATGGCACATGACACCAACAACAACATGGTTTAAAATCAGGAAGGGAATGTGTCAGGGTTGTATCCTTTCACCATATTTATTCAATGTGTATGCTGAGCAAATAATCTCAGAAGCTGGACTATATGAAGAAGAATGTGGCATCAAGATTAGAGGAAAGCTTGTTAACAACCTGAGATACGCAGACGACACAACTTTGCTTGCTGAAAGTGAGGATGACTTAGAGCATTTGCTGATGAAGATTAAAGACTACAATATGGATTATACCTCAATATAAAGAAAACAAAAATCCTCACAACTGGACCAATAAGCAGCATCACGATAGATGGAGAGAAGACTAAAGTTGTCAAAGACTTCCTATCACTTGGTTCTACAATCAACACCAATGGAAGCAGCAGTCAAGACATCAAAAGATGTATTGTGTTGAGCTAACCTGTTGCAAAAGACCTCTTTCAAGCATTGAAGAGCAAAGGTATGTCCTTGAAGACTAAGATGTGTCTAACCTAAATCATGGTATTTTCAATTGCCTCATATGTATGTGAGGAACTCTGGTAGCTTAGTGCCTAAGGCATCTGACTGCTAACCAGATTGGTGGTTCAAACCCACTAGCCACTCCTCGGAAGGAAGATTGGGCAATCTACTTACGTGGGGATATTGCCTTGAAAATCCAAGGAGGGGTCGCTATGAGTCGGATCCAACATGACCGCAGTGGTGGGTTCACATGCATGTGAGAGCTGGACAATGAATAAGGAAGACTGAAGGAGAGTTGATGCTTTCAAGTTGTGTTGGTGAAGAATGCTGAGCATACCATGGACTGCTAAAAGAACTAAATCTGTCCTGTAAGAAGTGCAGCCAGAATGCTCCTTGGAAATGACAATGGCTAGACTTCACCTCACCTACTTTGGTCACGTTGTCAGAAGGGACCATTCTCTGGAGAAGGATGTCATGCTGGGTACAGTGGAAGGTTGATGACAGAGGGGAAGGGTCTCAACAAGATGGATTGACATGGTGGCTGCAGCGATGGGCTCGGTTATAGTAGTTATCATGATGCTGGCACAGGTCCAGGCCATTTCGTTCTGTTGTACATAAGGTCGCTGTGAGTCAGAGACAACTCGACGACACCTAACAACAACAATAGGTTTTAGCAGCCCTGGTAGCACAGTGATTAAAGTGTTTAGCTTCTATCCAAAAAGCTGGAGGTTCAAACCCACCAGCCAGCCACTCCACAGGAGAAAGACATGGCAGTCTGCTTCCATAAAATTTAGAGCCTTGAGGCAGTTCTACTCTGTCCTATAGGGTTGTGATAAGCGGTGTCAACCCAATGACAAGGTTTAGTGAGTGATTATGGTGATGGGAAAATTGGCAATGATTGGAGTGGTAGTTATACAACATGATTAACAAAGTTGATATCATTAAATTGTACACCTGAAAAATATTGAATTGTATGTTGTGTTATATGTGTGTGTGTGTGTAAATGTTTACAACAACAAAGCTTTGAAATAAAGAAATAGTATCTAGAGCTCTTAAGTGAGACATTGGCAGTTCAGTGGCAGAATTCTTGGCTTCCATGCAAGAGACCTGAGTTTGATTCCTGGCCAGTGCACCCAGGCACAGCCACCACCTGTCCATCAGTGGAGGTTTGTGTGCTGCTATGATGCTGAACATGTTTCAAAAGAGCTTCCAAACTAAAAAAGACTAGGAAGAAAGGTCTGGTGATCTACTTCTGAAAAATCAACCAGTGAAAACCCAATAAATCACAACGATCTGATGTGCAACCAATCATGGGGATGGCACAGGACCAGACAGCATTTTGTTCAGTTCTACATGGGGTTACCATGAGTTGGGCATCAACAGCTATTAGGTAGGATGGCTTAAGTAAAATAATCCAATGCAAAGAAATCTGTATGTGCTGAACATTCAACAAGTGCTCATTATTATTGTTACAATGACCATGCTGGCCACACACCATCCCAAATGTGCCTACATCCTGGGTTCATTTCAACCACAGCCTGGCCAGTAAGCCAGGGATGTTAGTTCCTCTCATGGAGGAAGCAACTGAGGTACAGAAGGGCAGAGCCATCTTCTTTGTCATGACAACGGCCATTCAACCTTCTCCCTCCCTGGGAGTGGCTCAGTGGAAGCCCAAGGTGGAAAGAAGGGGGGCTGTAGATTTGGGCTATACCAAGCCCAGCCCAGGGCACCCACCAGTGTGCTGTGACAGAGGGGAAGGCATGGAGCCACGGGGCAGGCAGCGGCCCCTCTAGGCCAGGCTGAGTCAGTTGTGCTACAGGTGAAAGAATTCTCTCTTTCTTCAGGGCTCTGCCCATTCTTCTTTCCCTGGTATAAGAGGAAAGGAACTTGTCATTTTTTGAGGTCTTCCTATGTAGGTGACTACAGAGCTGGAGGCTTTGATATCATATCCACTCCCACCAACTCCAAGGGGCTGCATTACTGATCCCATTTTACCTAAGTCCCAGGTGACACAGCCAGGGTTGGCCAGGAGACAGCACACAAACACATCCCATTCCCTTCTCCTGGGCCTAGGGTTGAGAAAGTCCCACCCTCCAGCCTTGCACTGTGGTCCTGGCCTGTGTGCCCCTCACTGCAGTTCACAATGCCAATTTAAGATCACAAGGATCCCTAGCTACACATCTGAACAGTCACATGGAGCCTGAAGCTTCACCCCAGCTGTCTCTGCTTAAATCTCTTCCTTATCCATAAGTGGTAGTGTGCAACCCTAACAGCATGCAGCAGCCCTGAGATTAGCCCAATGGAGTCCTGTGGGATCAGCACTACTGACTCTATCCTCCTGAAGTCTGGGCCCCAATCCTTCTCTTCTCCAGCTTCTCAGGTGTCCCAAAATTAAAGAAACCAACTTAACTGGTCCCAACAGTCTCCTCTGACTTCTGCCCAAAACCTCTACAGTTAAACACCTTATAGGAGCCATCTACTTTGCAGAGCCCCTAGCCTCTTATTCTCTCATTAGCCCCAGGCCTCCCTCAAAATGTTTTCCCAAGGCCACTCCCCAATCCCAGAGCCTCCTCTGCTCCTCCTCCTGACCTTTCCTTGGCATCCAGTGATCTTCCCTGGGAACATTCCAGAGATTTCTCCCCATCTCCCTCCTTCTCCTCCTCAGGAACATCCATCCTCCTTCCTGCCTCAAACCAAAACTTCAATTCTTGCTGCCACACTTGTTGGATCTATTAGTTGCCCTCTTTTCTCTGTCTCTATGTTAGGCAGGATGAAGCAGTCCTCCTGGGAAGGTCAGAGTCCGAGGCCAACAGGGCCTGCAGGTGGCCAGACTGTCCAGATGGGCACCAAGGGAGCTGCCCAGCAGCCTGGGGGTCTGTGTATGGAGGGGGCATGGAAACCATGTGCTTTGGGCTTCTCCTCCCACCTGGAGCTTCCCCTGGACATGTTGTCCTCAACCATGAACCAATTCCTTGCTACCCTAGAACTCAGAAAGAGATCATCTTTTCCCCATTCCCTGCCCCTCAGCCAAAGGTGACAAACTAGTGGCCCACAACACATTTTGTCTGCCATACTGTTTCCATTACTTGTTATCATTTAAAAATAAGACAATTTCACTTAAGAATCCAGAATTCTGGTTTCTTTTGAAAAAAATCAGGAGATCCGGCAATACCAAAGTCCATACCCTTGCCTGGTGACAACCAGCTGGAGCTGAGCCTCACCTGTCCCTTTTTGGGGGACTTGCCCTCTGGTTTCTGGAGTTCTAGACTTTTTCATGTCCTGGTCCACCATCAGCTGCCTGGCTTCCAAACTGTCTCTGCCCAAGGTGGCCCAGCACAGAAGGGACTAGAGCCAGGCTGATCAGAGGTGAACCTGCTCAACCCCACTGGCCCAGGACCCCTTCCACCATGCTCAGTTCTCAGCACACGAAGGAGGGCGAACAGGGCAGGAGGGACGGCAGGGCAGACAGTCCCAGTGGGGCCTCACTCCAGCCTCTCCCCATCACTGTTTATGGGTGGCGGCGGCCAGACACCATGTGTGTCCTGATCTGGTTCTGCTTGCTCCGGGGCTGGCTGTTGGTAGCTTCAGGCTGCTCATATCCTATGGCAGCTGGCCAGAGGCCTTGCGCTGGATAAGCGGCAGCGTGAGCTGCTGGCACAGGCTTTGAACCGTCTGGCCCACTCAGCCGAATGTGCACCAAGGGGTGGCAGCCTGATCACAGTCCAGCATGATGTTGAGGACCGTGCAGGGGGCTCCGCCCACAGACAGGGCTGTTCGGGAATCCACACGGTACCGCACTGTGCTCAGGCCTCCCTCCCGGTCCACCTTGAATTGCTCCTGGGGAGGAACAGAGAGAGCATGTACTGCAGGCTTCTGGGAGTCAGCTTTCCATCAGTCCTACATGGCTGTGTTCCTGGAGGTTCTGTGGTCCCCACTGAAGAGAAAGAACCCAAAGCTCCCAGAAGGGGAGACCCACCCATTGGCTGCAGCTGACTGTTAAACAGGAGAGCAGGGATTTTTGTTGGACTAAATGCCTCTTGGAGAAGAGACTGTTTGAAGGATGGGTCCCTGGGATGCTGGCACCTTGGGCTGAGCTGACCCCACTCTGGCCTGGACACCAAGGTATCTGTGACCTACAGTGCCCCTAGCAACCACCACAGAAGGACACTGTGCCCAAGCAGAATGCCCATAAACTGACCTGAGGGAAAGCAGGGGAGGACAGGCTGCATGGCTTGATAAGTGCTCAGTGACTTGCTTGGGCCTGCTGGTCCCCACATCACCACCTACCCCTACCCAGTGAGGGGCCAGCCAGCACCTGTTTTTGAGCCGCAATGCGCTTCTGGTCCCTCTTCCGCCAGGCTGGGTCGTGCAGGTGGTGAAATGTCTTATACCCAGTTGTGATTCCGGAAGGGCGGAAAAGCTAAGGAGGCCAAGGAAAATCAGCATCAAACAGCTCCTTCCTGGAGCCCTGACCTCACTGGGGGTGCACAGCCTGCCAGAGGCAGAGCCAGGGGTCCTCATTCCCACTTTAACAGAAGAGGCAGCTGAGGTGCAGAGGGCAAGGGACTGATTGGATGATCATAAGTCAGGGTCAGGGCTGGGACTGTCTCCAAACCCCCAGAACTGCACCTGAGGAAAGAGGAGTGAACCTCAGGGCCGTCACTGCCACGCTGGCTGAGGGAGGGGGCCCAGGGCCATTACCTGAAGCCCAGCTCCTTTGATGCGGCGGTAGAACTCGTCGTCCTCACGGCCCCAGCCCCAGAAGCGGTTGGACATGCCGTTGCACTGACAGAGACAGGCATGTCACTTGCTTGTTCTCCCGGGGTGCAGCATGGTCTTCTGTCACTCTGTAGCACCCAGCCCATGACCAGTTCAGCCAGGACTCCCCTCTCCTCCTCCCCTTGCTGTTCTGCATGAACACCCAAGTCAATTCTAGCCACAGCTTAAACAGGAGCAGGACACCTGAGCCCAAGCCCCTCAGTTCTTCCCATCTCATCCCACCCCCAGTGACTGACTCAAGGACAGGTCCAGTGCATGAGTCAGACCAATTGGGAACCAGTGTAACTCAATTCTAGGCTGCTATTTGGGTGGTGAGGGAGTGGGGTCCATCTTCCACCAGACTTGAACCTAGAGGGATGCAGGTAGCAGCTGGAACCACCACCTTGCACCCTGCAAGTCTGAAAATGAACCCAAGAGAACGAAAGTGGAGCCAAGAAATGTGTAAGGAGAACCAGTGCTCAGGGATTCTGTCAGAAGCTGGGCAAGCTGCACTATGGTAGTTAAGGCTGTGTGTCAACTTGGCTGGGCCTGGTTGAGTGGCGGCAGCTAGTGATAGTTACTCCCCACGATGAGACTGGTAATCAGCTCTATGGTGGGATATACCACAAGCAGCTGAGTAGCTGCCTTAGGGATGTGGCCTGTTTCCCATATATAAACAGCAACTTTGGGGATGGTCTCTAGTTTATGGCACACTTGAACCCTGCATGTAACCGAGTTGTTGTTTAGCAGCCTGCCATGCTCTGCCAATCTGGGGACTTTCAATGGACTTGAATTAGTGGCCTGCTGTGTTGTTTGGTAACACTGTGACTGTGCCTTTTTACTTTTCAACCTTGGGTTTGTCAGCTTCAGCAGCCCAGCAGCTGAGTGAAGAAAAGCCTCTGCTTCAGTGGGCCAGAAGCAGGAGGGAGAGCTGAAGCCCAAGGTTGAGAGGCTTTCACCCAGCCTCTAGAGCTTGACACTTTGAACTCAGATTTAAAGCCTCCAAACTGTAAGAGAATAAACTCCTGTTTGTTAAAGCCATTCCATTTGTGGTGTATTGCTGTCAGAGAGGCACTAGGTAACCAGAACATGCACCGAAGCCAGACCCCACCTCCTACCCAGACTTCGCAGGGTTGAGAGCCAAGACACCCTAAGTTTCCTTAAGCCCCCCAGGAAGGAGGTTCTGCTGTGCCCTCCCTGCTCCTCTTGAAGTTCTTGGGCTGCTCTGGGGCTCTCTGCTGTGCCCCAATGAGGGCTCCATCCTCCCAGCTGCCTCCCCCTGGGCAGGCGGGTGGCTCACCAGCTGGTAGTGCTGCTTGGAGAGCAGCAAGATGCCGCCCACGTAGGTCTTGTAGTGGTAGAGTGGGTGGAGCTCCGGGGAGGCCACGTGGAAGGGCCCAGCCTCAGGGAAGCCATAGTCCAGTTCCTCATTGAGGGGCAGCAGGTCCACATCATGCATGGCTATGTAGTCAGTGCTATTGCTGCTCTCCAAGAAGCCCACGTTGATGAGTGCTGCCCGGTTAAACCTGTGCAGAGTGGCCGAGGCTGGGCACACAGGTGCGAGCATGCACATCACTCTCCCCTGACTCTGGGGGAGCCTCTTCTTCATGGCATCCTCCCTGGGACTCCTGCATACCAGTGCTGCCCCACTCCAACACTGACTTCCCAGTATAGTGTCTGCCCACCTGCACACCTGCCCCTCCATCCATCCCACAGATCTGTCTTGAGTACCTACTAGGTGCCAGAAACTGTTCAGAGCACTAGGGGCACAGCTGTAAAAAATAACATCCCTGCCCTCCAGGAGCTGACAATCTGGTAGGAGGAGACAAAAATAAACAAACAAGTAAGCGTGTAATCAGCCACATGGTGGTTAAGTGCTGTGGAAAAGCTGAGGAGAGTGAAGAGGGTCAGGCACTGTCAGGGTCACAGGGCTGAAGGTTTGGGGGCTGTGTTAGGAAATCAGGGGGATGAAGGCCCAAGCAGAGGAACAGCAACCACGGAGACCTGAGACAAGAGCAGCCCCCAGTGTGGCTGGGCAGAGTGGAAAAAGGAAGCATGAGGTGGAAGTTGGAGCTAACAGGACAGACTGTGCAGGGCTTGGGAGCCACTGGGGGCCTCTCCCAGAGAGGAGGGAGTCACGGGAGGGTTCTAAATAGAGGTGTGCTGTGCTCTGTGTTGTGACTTGATTTCCACAAGCTCACTGCAGCTGGTGTGAGAGGAGATGATGGGGTAAAGGGGGAGCAGGGAGACCCATTGGAGGCTGTTACAACAACTGAGGCAAGTTCATGAGCAGTTGTGGAGATGGTGAGAAGTGGGTAGATTGTAGATGGATTTTAAAACTGGAACCTAGCTGTTTGCAGTGGGATTGGACGTGGTGTGTGAGAGGAGAGGAGTTGAGGCTGACTCTGAGGTTTTCTGGCCTGAGCAGCTAGATGCACCAAGTTTCCATTCTCTGAACTGGGGACGAGGACAAAAGGAGCAGAAGTGGGATGAGGAGGGAAAGCAGTAATTCTGTTCTCACCATGTTAAGCATGAGATGCCACTGAGGCCACCAGATGGACCTTGTGGACAGCTGGGTACCAGTCCAGAGCTCAGGAGAGAGGAATGAGGGAATGTATGAGGCCCCCAGGGAAAGACTATAGCTAGGAAAGGGGGGATGCCTAAGCACTGAGCCCCATGAAGCATGGATGCTGAGAGACTAGGAAGATGGGGAAGCAGCAACAAAGGGGACAAGAAAGGGTAGCCAGTGAGGAAGGCGGAAACAGAGAGTGTTGTTCCAAGGGTCAAGTGGAGGGGCTTTAAGAAGGAAGAAGAAATTCATGTGGCAAGTGCCGCTGGCAGTTGGATGGGACAAAGATGAGGAATGGTCTCAGAGCTGATGGGGATCAAAGCCTGAGTGGTTCAAGAGAGAATGAGGGAGAGAATGGGGCAGAAGCAAGTAGGAACACTTCTCTCTAGGAGTTCTGCTCCAACAGGGAGCCGAGCAAGGGGGTGACAGCAGTGGGAGATGTGGGCGCGAGGGGGACTTCTTTTTTTTCCCTTTTAGGTGGGAGCTCTTTGTATACGTGTGCATGCTGCTGCAAATGCTCTAGGAAAGGGGGAAGAAGTGATCATGCAGAAGGGCAAGGGGCCGACTGCTGGAGTGATGTCCATGAGGAAGGAGTGGGATGGGATCCAGAGCCATGTAGTAGAGGGGCCTCAGACAGGAGTTGGCATGGTTCATTCTCAGTAACAGGCAGGAAGCTGGGTACGTGTATGGACACTGGGAGGTAGGTGTGGCAGCACTTGTGAAAGTTCCCTTCCAAATGGCTCTATTTTCCCAGTGAACAGGAAGCAAAGCCACCAGCTGAGAACGAGGAATGGAGAGCAACGCTGAGAGGAGTGAGGAGAAGGGAAGGTGAGAAACAGCTGTTGAGAAGGAGGGGTGAGTTGAAAAACAGAAGAATGTGAGGTCTCCAGCAGCGCAGAGGCCTTCTGGGTAGCGTTGGTCATAAGTGGGCCCAGCAGCGAGGCTGTACGTGTGGATGACAGTCACAGTCAGCAGCCCAGGGTCAGATGGGTAGTAGATAGAGTCAGATTTAGTCAGGCTAGGTCTTGCCCATCAGGAAGGGGCAATGGCGCTGAGGGTGTAATTTAATGTGTGTGGGCTCATGACTCTGGAATGGAAGTCAAATCAGGAGACAGTGTGGACTGAAGTGGGGTGCAGTGACATGTGGGACATCAGTAGACTAAAGGGCCTGGTGGGATCTAAGAATGGGTGGAGTTCTTCCAGAAAGAGGGAGTAGGAGGGAAATGAGAAAATGCAGGATGTGAGATGTTTGGACTAGTCGTGGAGGGTCCAGTTTCTGGTAATAGCAAGTATTTTAGGGTAATGGCAGCTGTGAGCATCTTGACCTTCCCTTTCTCAAATCCCCATGTCCAAGCCATCAGCAGGTCATGTTTGCACTCCCCCACACTGCTCCTACCACCTGCCCTTGGACCACTATGGCCCACCACCATCATCTTAGATGACTGCACTGACCACTAAAAAGCCTCCCCAACTTGCCTTCTGTCCTGGTATAATCTACTGCACATACAGCAGCCACACATAGCATTCTAAGATGGAAATCAGATCAGGGTTCCTCCCAGGCCCAAAGCATGATTTCTACCTCCCCCCCCTTCTGCTACTGCCCAGATGAACACCCCAAGTCTGAGGTGCACCAGGGGCTGGCCTGCAGCCAGGAAGGGGAGAGGCCAGGCAAGGCAAGGCCTGAGAGGGAAGGCACTAGGCCAGAGGTACAAGTCTGAAGGTGACCCCTACCTGAAATGGTCCACCTGGTTGAGCACATAGATGTGGTGCTGGATTTTTTTCTTGCTCAGGAAGCGGTGCATGTGGGGTACAAAAACCAGGAGCTCCTCGAAGCGCTCACGGAAAGGGACCAGCACTGCCAGGCGGTGGGGACCCCAGGATGGGTCTTCTTCCCAGTGCTCAGGAGGCAGCTCTGGAGGGCAGCCCCGAGGTGGGCCTGGGGTCTCCTGCCCTTGTCCCCTGGCTACCCGGGCCACATCACCTGAGCAGCTGAGCTGCAGCCAGAGCAGGGAGAGGAAGCCCAGTAAGAGACAGGCAACGAAGAGGTGGAAGACAGAGCACTTCCGGGGCAGGCCAGCAGGGAACAACCTGGACCTGAGACAAGAGCAGGGTGCAAGTCAGAGTGTAGGGCCAGGCCACTGGCAGCTCCCTTCCTGGCCTCCCCTCAAGTTAGCACACACGGCCAGCCTGCCCCAAGCACTTGGGAGTTAGTGCAAAAGCAACTTTAGTGCTTTGGTTTGAGCCACTCCCCATGCATCAGAATCCTGCCACCTTTCTATCCCTGCCTGTGCCACCCCACTCCTGGGAAGCCCTGCCACTGCTTCCAGGTCACACAACTGTCCCCACTCCTTGATATTCTCTTATTCTCTGTGAATCCTGGTCAGACCATGAGCTACTCGCAGGCAGGGCAAGGGTCCTCTACCCTTTCACTTGCCCCTTCCCAGGACAGTGGCTCTATGTCCTGAGCCCATGGCAGGAACCCTACCTTAGAGAAATCCAAGTCACTCCCTTCCAAAGCCCCTATCCTGAAGATACACCCCCAGCAAAAACCTCAGCTCCATCCTGCTTCTCAGGCTTAGAAGAAAGTCCCCAAGACAGGTGTGGGTGGTGGCATCCCAGATGAAGCAACCAGTGTTTACACTGGGAGGATTGATCTGCCCCCAAATTAATGCAAGGCCCACGCTGACAGTGTCAGTTCACTGAACAAGTTTTAAAGCTTCAGAGCAAGAGGCAGCTCATATGATGAGAAATGAGAGGTAGAGAAGGAGAAGAAAGATACAGACTGGGGACAGCCCCAGCTCATTTCAGAGAATAAAAGACAGCTGAATATCGTGAACGTTGGGGTAGTGTTGGGAGAGAATGCCTTTTAGGTTAAAAAGTACAAAGAAACAGGTGGATTCACCTCATTCTTTTGCCATTCTCTCTGAAAGTTCTTGAAGATAATGAAAAAGGAGCTGAGGAATCCAAGAAGGGAAAAGCTTCCCCCACACTTCCTCTGACATAATCTATTTGCAAAGGCATCTACTTCTTAACTTGTGAGAGTCACCAGTTAGCTACCTGGTCTTGTAGAGTCAGTCTACCACCTAAACTCCTCTTTGATCCAAGGGATCTCATGATTAGCATGTCTCTGTTTGTAAGGTTGAGCTCCCGGGTTGCATAAACGTTAAGAGCTTGGCTGACTAAGAGGTAGGTGGTTTAAGTCTACCCAGAAGTACCTCAGAAGAAAGGCTGACAATCTACTGAAAAATCAGCCTCCAAAAGGCAACTGATTGGTTTGTTTGTTGGTTTACAAGACAAAGGCCAGACTCATTGGCTTGACAGTGAAAGCCCTCTGTGACCTGGCCCCTTTCCGGTTTCTCCCTACTCACCCAGCACTGTCATACTCATCACAGGCATTTCTACTCCAACCCTCACAAAGGCTGCTCCATCTGCCTGAAATGGTGTAGTACCCAAGGCATGTGACTGCTAACCAGAAGGATGGTGGTTCAAACCCACTGGCCACTCCTTGGAAGGAAGATTGGGCAACCTACTTCTATAGTGATACCACCTTAGAAACCGAAGGAGGGGTCGTCGAGTTGGATCACTCGATGGCAGTGAGTTTGGTTTGGTTTTTTGGTTTTCTCTGCTTGGAAGCCTCCCACTGACTCTTAGGACCAAACTCCAATGTCATGGTCAGCACTGTCTCCACCTAAACACCTCTCTGGGCTCCCTCTGTCTTCCCATGGCATCTGGTACCGCCTTCTTTCAAGCACCGATCTTCCATAGTAGGTATCCAGGGTCAGACAGCAAGGGCGTGCTCACTTGCTCAGTGAGTTAGAGGAAGAGGCAAAGCAGTCAGGGCATGCTTTAGGTCACACACAGTGCCAGCTCAACTTCTACCTCTCTCTAGAGGCACAACTCCAACCTAGAAGCCACCAGCCCTGAAGTCAGGCCCAGGTCCCACACACAGGACTTCTGACTTACCCCCCATTGTCCTGTAGTGCTGCTTACCGCTGGGGAGGAGCAGAGCCCAGTCCTGTGAGTGGCAAGGGAAGGCTGGAACCTCTACAGATTCTCCCTCGCCCCCTGGGCTCTTTCTGAGGGCTGGGTGGAGACCAGGGAGATGGATAAGGGGTTATATCTCACCTTTGGGCAAACGAAGCGGTGATCATTACCCAGGTGATCGTTACCCAGGGAGGGTATGGCATGGACTGGGCATTATTTGCACTTGCTGTTTCCTCAATCCAGCTTCCCCTTCCTTTTGGGATCACCTCCCTCATCTTGTACCCCAAGGGCCCAAACCACTGAGCAAACTGAACTAAGAGCCCAGAGTACCAATTCCCAGTGGGCATTGAGAACAGCTGCTCCTGGTTCCACCTGGTGGCAGTCTCCAGATCTGCAGCCCAGCCCTCCCAGGCCCAGGCTACCTTGTTATTGTTGTTATGTGCTCTCGAGTCAGACCTGACTCATAGCGACCCCTCCTTGGGTTTCCAAGGCAGTATCACTGAGGAAGTAGATTGCCCAACCTTCCTTCAGAAGAGTGCCTGGTGGGTTTGAATTGCCAGCCTTCTGGTTAGCAGTCAAGTGCCTTAGGCACTACGCTACCAGGCTACCTTAGCTAGCTCTAAGGGAAATCTAGACAAGGCCTTGACTCCTTCATCAACCTGTGCCCAAAGCTAGTAAGAAGTAAATTCAAACCCAGGCAGGTTAGGTCCAGGGCCAGCACTCTTTATTGCTACCCTGGCCAGTATTTGTTACATGGATCTTTATATCCCCATGTGAAAAGCACAGAGTTGACAGTGAATTTTTCTGGCTGTTATGGTCCAAAGGTTTAAGGAAAGGGATCAGAAAATAGTCTTTCAATACTTTCCTTTCTTCACTCATACAAACCCTACTGATACATGGTTTGAATACTCAGCTGTTCTAGTTATAGCAACTCAGAAGTGCAAGCAGGCTGAAGACAAATGGCACCTCCTTTGTGCCAGGAACAGAGCCAAAGGCTTTACAAATCTGATCTCTGCTCTGCTGGCACAATGCCTAAAGAATTTGACTGCTAACCAGAAGGCGGTTCAAACCCATCAGCCACTCCACAGAAAGAAGACTGGGCAACCTACTTCCGTAAAGATTTACCACCTCAGAAACCCAGTGGGGGTTGCTATGAGTCAGAATCGACTCGATGGCAGTGGGTTTGGTTTGGTTTTTAATCTTCATACAACCCTGCAGAGTAGATACTATGATCCTTGTTTCAGAGATGGAAAAGCTAAGGTCAGAACAATTAAGTGATCTGCTTCTGGTCCTATGGCTACTAAAGAGGAACCCGGCCTTACTCCACAACCCATGTTTTCTATTACATTCCTGTCTTCTTATTTCATCATGAAGTCTACAAAAATTCCCAATGGTAAAGAGCTGTGCCCACTAAGTTCCAGAAGGTTTTGGCACTTGGCAAACTTAAGATATAAACAGAACGAGGTTGTCATTCGCTGGGTGGAGACCTACTATCAGGTAGTCTGTATGAGTTTTCTGGACACATCTCAAGACTGTACCCATTCTGCTTTAACGGGAAACGTCATTAGCTATGGTCTGGGCTAAGCTCACACCTAATACACAACACAGGCCCCATTCAGGTACACCTGCCTAAGAAATGAATTCACGTATGTGTGTTGAATGCCTAGAGCAGGCCAGACAGTGCAGATCTACAGAGCTTCGATTTGGTTTGTTCTGGGTAGTCATCAAAGGTTGGAGTATGGAGTAGCACAAGGGAGAGGGCTAGGGTATGAAGCCAAATGGATGTAACCAGGGAAATAAGAGACCAGGGTAACGGGACAGAGAGATTCACAGAGAGAGGTCAACTGAAACAGAGACCCGCACAAAGAGACACAGGGAGCCGCCAGCCGAGTAACTGACACAGGGAGACCCATAATAAGAGGACGAGGCTCGTAGCGACAGAGACTCTCAAAGATATGAGCAGAGCGCTACACAGAGGAACAGAAATTCACGAAGAGAGGTCAACGGAGACTCGCACAGAGACAGAAACCTGCGGAGTGACTGAGACCGGTGAAGACTGAGACCTACATAGAGCAAAACAGACCCATAGAGAGCGAGCCAGTGACCCAGAAGGAGAAGCACGGAGCCGAAGAGATCCGCAGAAACCGAGACCCGGTGGTCTCCGGCTCGGAGACTCGGCCCAGGAAGGAGCTCTCTGGAGGACAGTCCCCGAGTCGGCCGCTGCCGCTCACCTGCCGTCCTCCCAGGGCAGCTGCGCCGCTTTCCGCCGAGAGGGGAACATCGTTCGGGGAGGCGGCGACGCATGGGGCTCAGCTCCCAGCCCTGGCCGGCCGGCCTCCCGGGCCTACGCGGCGCCTCCGCCGGCCGCCCCGCCCCTCGGTCCTCCCAGTCCGCCGCTCCGATCGCGCCGTCTGCTCCCGGAGCCGCTGCTCTAAAGGTTCTGCGCGCTGGGAAACCAGCCGTTAGTGCTTCGCTGTCTGGCTGACTCCTAGCTGCTCTCAGGATCCGCCCTATATCCCGTGAAACTAAAGCCCCAGAGGCGGAGTGACTGGCCAGAAACCACCCAAAAAGTCACTGGGCTGAGACTGGAACTCAGACTCCAGACTCCCAAACCTGATTCTGGGGTAATTTGCATCTTCCTTTTCCTCCCAAAAGGAGCTCTACTGCGTAGTGCGTAAACCATTCAGCTGCTAAAGAAAAGGTCAGCCGTGCGAATCCACAAGTCGTTCCGCGGGAGAAAGATGAGGCAATCTATTTCCCTAACGACTTACAGCCTCGGAAACCCTATGGACGGGTCTACATCCTGTAGTGTCGCTTTGAGTCAGAACGGACTGGTGGCAGTGGTTTTTCTTCCCCCCCAAAGGCGGAAAACATCTGGGCATACCTTCTGTCAGCCCAGATGAAACATACTTCCTCCGCAACTAGCTTGGGTTGAGGAGAAGACCAGCTCAGCGCTCAGTCTTGGGTTCAGCCAGTCACCCTAAGTATAATTGGGAGCTATGCTCTCAAGACAGGGTGACTGGATTGGGAAGTTTCAACTGTGTTTTGGGGGCAAACAACAATTTCTACATCTGTTTCCTCACCTGGAGATATATATGTTTCCTATCCTATATGGTTGCTTTGTGGGTTACAAAAGAAAATGCAAACACACTTGGTACAGTGCTGGGCACATAATGAACACTATATAAACTATGGCAGTCATACAGAAGAGGGTCTTTTGGTGGCGTTAAGGAGAGAACTGAAGAAGGGAATGATATCTTCCTGTTACAGTGGGAACTTAGGCCCCGAGGGGCCAGGCTCCCACTGGAGAAAAAGAGTGACAGAGTTGTTAGACTTGATCTCTTCTGCTTTTCCAGGCAAACTCTAAGTTTCATAATAAATAGCTAATAACAATTGAGTTATTAGTACCTGAGTGGTCAAGCGGTTTATATTCAATTACTAAACAGAAGGTTGGCAGTTCAGATTCATCCAACAGCTCCACATAAGAAAGGCCTAGCAATGTGCTTCTGCAAAGATTTCTGTCAAGAAAGCCCTATGGAGCAGTTCTAATCTATAACACACGGGGGTCACTGTGAGTTGGAATCAACTCAGCAATAGTGGATGTTGAGCTCTGACAGTCATTGTTTTAAATTCCTTACTGTTGTTATCTCATTGAATCTTTATGAGTTGTTGTGAGCTGCCACTGAGTTGCTCCATGACTCATGGGATCCCATGCACAATGGGATCAAACTGTTTTGATCAAAGGGTTTTCACTGCCTGATTTTTTGGAAATAGGTCGTCAGGCCTTTCTTCCTAGTACATCTTAGTCTGGAAGCTCTGCTAAAACCTGTTCAACATCAGAGCAACACATAAGCTTCCACTGACAGACAGGTGGTGACTGTGGTTGAGGTACATTCGCCAGAAATAAAAACTGAGTCTCCTCATAGAAGGCAAGCATTCTACCATTGAACCACCACTGTACCTATCCCTACAAATAGGTAATTATCCCCACTTTAGAAAAGAGGCAGCTGAGGCACAGAGAGACAAAATCAGAATATGAATCCAGGCAGTGTGGTTCCACAATCTATGATCTCAACCACTGTTCTTGCTATTATTGTTGTTAGGCACCATTAAGTTGGCTCCGACTCATGGTGAGCCTGTGTACAACAGAATGAAACACTGTTCACTCCTGTGCCATCCTCACAATCCCTGTTATGCTTGAGTTCATCCACGCAGCCACTGTGTCAATCTATCTCATTGAGGATCTTTCCTTTTTTCACTGACCTCTACTTTACCAAGCAAGATATCCTTCTCCAGGGACTGGTACCTTCAGACAACATGACCAAGTAGATGAGATGACATGTGCCCATTCTCACTTCTAAGGAGCATTCTGGCTGCACTTCTTCCAGGACAGATTTGTTCATTCTTCTGGCACTCCATGGTATTTTCAGTATTCCTTGCCAACACCATAATTCAAAGGCATCAACTCTTCTTTGGTCTTCCTTATTCACTGTGCAGCTTCCACACACATATGAGGTTATTGAAAATACCATGGCTTGGGTTAGGCACACCTTAGTCTTCAAAGTGACATCTTTGCTCCTTTATACTTTAAGAGGTCTTTTGCAGCAGATTTACACAGTGCAATACGACGTCTGATATCTTGAGTGCTGCTTCCATGGGTGTTGATTGTGAATCCAAGTAAAATGAAATCAGAGGACTTCACTATGTGTGGGAATTAACCATTCCCAGCACATACCACTCCTCCTTAAGCCAGAAGCATAAAACCCTCCCTCCTTGTTCCTGCTGAACTCTCCCGGGCACTGCACCCTCCACTAGAACCCTAGCAAATTCAGGCTAGGTTTGGCTTATGTCAAAGGCAAGGCTGACCACCTGCAAAGACCAGTTGGAGGCAGCCATTGATGGTTGCAGGGAGGTGTGATTGACCCAGACAGCACAAGCCCACCTAAAGAAGACAGCCACCAATCAGTCCAGCTAACTGTTGCTGCACCAGACTGAAACCCCAATAGTATGCAATGGGATTCACTACAAGAAATCATATTTCATAGAAAAATCCAAATTCTTAACTAATTTTTTTAAAAATGTGACATCCACAGTGATGCCTTGTTGATAGTACCCTTGATATGATGTGATGAGAATGACACTTGACCTCTTTATCTTTCAAAAATCCATAATCCCAGTCTAATCATGAGAAAAATATAAAATTCTAATTGAAGCAAGATTTACAAAATATGTGACCAGTACTCCTCAAAACTGACAAGGAAAGTGTGAGAAACTATCACAGCCAAGGAGATATAACAACTAAATGTAATGTATTGTTGATGGGATCCCCCACCAGAAAAAGGACATTAATTAAAACTAAGGAATTCTCATGGAGCCAAAATAGAACTTTGATTATATTCACCTGAATTTAAAGACCACCCAAAGAATAGATTTGATGCATTGAGTACCAATGACTGAAGTCCAGATGAGTTGTGAGATGACATCCAGAACATCATGCATGAAGAAAGCAAAAGGTCGTTAAAAAGGCAAGAAAGGAAGAAAAGACCAAAATGGCTGTCAGAAGAGACTCTGAAACTTGCTGTTAAACACAGAATAGCTAAAGTGAATGGAAGAAATGATGGAATAAAAGAACTGAACAGATTTCAAAGGGTGGCTTGAGAAGACAAAGTAAAGTATTATAATGAAATGTGCAAAGACCTGAGTTGGCAAAATGGTGTCTCTCCTGTAGTGCCCATGCTAGTTCCCTCTAGTATCTTAGTGCCTGAAAAACTAGGTGCAGGAGTTTGAAATTGGGATTCTGGTGCTCTGAACAGCTCGTTAAGTCAGAGTATGTCAAACTCAGGGGAGTAGGATTAGAAAGATGAAAGGGGCAGTGCAATTGCCCAGAGGGAAAAAAATAACAAAAACAGAAGACTTCCGGTAAGATGGAGGACTAGGCAGACAAGCAACACAGACCCTCGTCAACAAAGAAAAGAAAAACCAATTGACAGAGATACAGAAGATAATCCTGGAGTCCTGAGCTATGAAAGGAACTATACAGAAGTGGGTTAGGCACCAACTAGTGGAAAAACCTGAACAAAAATAATGAGTACAGAGACAGACAAAGGTGTGGACTCTCAGCTACTCTAATGGGACCAATAGCCTGAATATTTCCAAGTGGTGTTGGGACTTGAGAATTGACCTAAAGATCAACCCTGGGAGTTCCGGCAAGATGGTGGACTAGGCAGAAGGACTGCACAGACCCTCTTCAACAAAGAAAAGGGAAACCAATTAACACAGACACAGAAGATAATCTT